GGTGTTTGAAAGATGGAGCAGGACACGGCTGTGTGTTGACCAAACACCGCTGAGCCTGTGCGCTGCGTGGGAGAGCGACAGAGATGAGCAGCTCTGTGCAAGTACAGCAGGGTTGATTTCCCTGGGGCCTCTGAGCCCTCCTCATGGCTGCCAGTACGGAAGTCTGTCCCATGTTCTCATTTCTGGTACTTCCCAAAGGCTCAGTTTGTTTCACCCTTTTCAGATCTAAAGTCAAGCTTTTCTCTCAAGCAGAAGAAAGGTTATTTAGGCAGAAACCAAAGAGTTACCTATGTCTTTCTCCATCTCATTGTCTGCGAAGTCTCCTCACCTTTGGAAAAACAACACAGCTGCCAAGATGTGGGTGGCTCCCAGTGAAATGCATTACTACCCCCAGGCCAGACACACCTTTCTTGTTTTCAAAGCTAAATTGTTGGATGAGGAACAGCTGGGAAGGAAGGGCTGCGGGGCCAACAGGCAAGTTTTCTCTTACTCTATTCCTACCAAAATTGACTAGAAAAAAATAATTCATTTAACTTTAAAACTATTTCATCTTATCACAATGAAAATCAGAATTAAAAGAGACAAATTTATTTCTTTAATTTATTTATTCTTTAAAGATTTATTTATTTATTGGAAAGTCAGATCTACAGAGAGGAGGAGAGACAGAGAGGAAGATCTTCCGTCCGATGATTCACTCCCCAAGTGAGCACAACGGGCCGATGCTATGCCGATGTGGAGCCAGGATCCAGGAACTTCTTCCGGGTATCCCACATGACTGCAGGGTCCCAAAGCTTTGGGCCGTCCTGGACTGCTTTCCCAGGCCACAAGCAGGGAGCTGGAAGGGAAGCGGGGCCACCGGGATTAGAACCAGCACCCATATGGGATCCCGGGCATGTAAGGCGAGGACCTTAACCACTGCACCATCGCGCCGGGCCCAAAAGAGACAAATTTAAAGGATAGCAATAATGGTTACTAATTATTATTGTAGTAACAACTCTTTATATTTCATCCATGATAATTCAGAGCTAATGTTGTCCTATGTTTGGTAGCAATCGTATCATTGAAGAAAGTGGTTTCAAATTAGATTCGATGTCACAGAGCTTCAATAAAAAGTATATATATAAATACAATATGAATTATATGTAATATACACATATGTAATGTGACAGAGTTCTATTACTTAATTATAAAATATACAGGCCATAAGAATTTATTAATGTCATGTGCCGTGGTAGCAAAACAACATAAAAGCTGAATATTTAAAGCAAAATTCACACATACAGAAAGAGAAATTGAAAATGAGAAATTGTCCTGGGAGATCATAATATAATATGTATCTTTGAAGGTAGACGAAAATAAGAAGGAATAAGTTTTGAAAATACTATGAACACTGTCAAAATGACTAGTACGTATGAGTTCATATCCGTGGAAAACAGTTCATATCCTTGGAAAACACGGTCTTCTATGACTGCAGGTATCTACCTGATACAATCATGTAATTGACCACAAACAACAATGTAACAGACTCGGAAAAGTGAAAGTTTCAGAAACCATGTTCTTTGCTCATCAGCCAGTGAACATGGTAACCAGCCATGTGCCTATGGGCATGCTGAGTGACCCAAGCGTTGCCCAACTTAGTGGAACCTAATTTAACGTCACAATTGATTGGCAAGGAGTTATAAATGGCACAGGCACTCCTTAACTTACAGCTTGTGAATACAGACACAGCTAATGGTAGTAGGTTGCTGAGAAATTAAAGTTTTGTTGGGGGAAATGTCAAGCTACTTAGGAGACCTCTGGTAGCCATCAGTTCTTGGTAAGAAATGAACTTTTGGATCCAAACAGCTTTCCATGTGATTTCTTTCCCTTTCTAGCCTGAGGAAATGAGGACCGCTGAACAATGGAGCTTTTCCCAGGGCCGTGATAAGATCTTCCTTCCTCACACTCCAAAGCCCTAGACTCTTAATCAGCTGAGAGAGGAAACCGAGGTTTCCTTCCCAGCTCAGCCTGGCTTTCAGACTTCTCCGCTGCTTTGTTCAGTCCCCCTTGTCATTAGACTAAACAAAGGACTAGGCTCCCATTTTCATACCTGTGTGCTTTTGTGAGAATTTCTCTATTTTTGAAAAAAATGCTTATTTAATTGAAAGAGTTACTCAGAGAGGAAGACAGAGGGTGAGAGATCTCCCACCCACTGAATCAGTCCCCTAGTGGGGATGACGGCCAGGGCTGGGCCAGGCCGAAGTCAGAATCAAGAGTCCAGAAAGTTCATCCGGGTCTCCCACGGGGATGCAGGGGCCTGCTGATGTGGGCATTTTCTGCTGCTTTCCTTGGAGTAGCGCAGGGAGCCAGATAGAAGTTGAGCAGCACTGGGACTCTGGTGGTGTATATTTTATAATAAAATATCCCACATGGCATGGCAGCACTGTGGGTACCGGCTTCGTCATTACACTACAATGCCAGCTCCAATTCTTCCTATTTTATAAAGCTAAAACATCATGGGATTATGCTCATTCAGCCTAGAGTATTAATAATACGGTTGTTGACAGTAAATAAAAAAAAAATAAACAATTTAAAAAATATATTTATTTTTATTGGAAAGGCAGATCAGATTTATATAGGAGAGACAGAAAGATCTTCTATCTGCTGGCTCACTCCCCAGATGGCCACAATGGCTGAAGCTGAGCTGATCCGAAGCTAAGAGGCTAGAGCCTCTTTTGGGTCTCCCATATGGGTGCAGGGTCCCACGGCTTTGAGTCATCCTTGGCTGATTTCCCAGGCCGCAAGCAGGGAGCTGGAAGGGAACTGGAGCAGCCGGGACACGAACTGGTGTCCACATGGGATCCTGGTGCATGTAGAGAAAGGATCCAGCCACTACGTGAGAGTAAATTTAAAAATCTGTTTTATAATGTAAATGGATTGGGTTGAGATGGAGTAGTGGTCATATTTAGTGAAAGAAAGATTATGTTTAATATTTTCTATGACACATTTTTGTAAGTGGAGGGGTTGCCCTCTGCCCCGTTTTTCCTTCCCTTTTTATCCTTCCATCATTCCCCCATATTATACAGTAGTAGAGACCTTTAGTAACAGAAGATTAGCATTCTGCTATATAAATGCATCCTGGCATTGTAGGTATTGACAAAGGTGAAACATTTAGTGTTAAACTTTTTTTCCTGGGAGTCTTCCTTTTGTTCAGCAGTAGCGATGCCTACTGCAACGTATCTTCACTTCCTGGTGTGGTAGTCTACGTTATACAGTTCATGTATGAGAATACATGTATAGCCTTGCTCACCTGTATATGGATACAGATGTTATCCTAGTATTTCACTGCCTTGTTAGTGAGGACAGTTTTATCCATTCAATCAAACTCTGAGGATGTGAGTGTAGGTGGAGAGGTAAAGAGCTTTCCTTTGATTCTGATGCGCCAGGAAGGCGGAGGAGCTTTTCCTATTGTTCATATCCCCATTTGTAAAATAAGATCAATCAAGCAAATGAATGTCAGGTGATGTCCACTAAGTGAGTCATCCCCTGGTGGAGGAGCCCCAGGGTTCCCCAAAACGCTGCGTGGCAGTCTTCTGGCAGAATGCACTGAACTATCGAGAGAGAATTTTAGCTTTGCTGAGCAGCACAATGCCTGTCTCGGGAGCCTCGGAAAGCAGAATCCTCAGGCCTGCCCACCCTTGTTTGTGTCCTGCAGGCTTGAACACAAGGAGTTTTATTGCGACGTGGGTGTTGACAGCACCAGCATTTTCATTCAAGCACGAAGCCCAAATTAGTAATTACTGCCTTAGGAGGGCCTCCCTTATTTTCTCTCTGGATCACCTCTCTGCTTCTTCACCTCCCTCATCCTCACTGTCCCTGCACGTGGGGCCTCCTCTCCCTGAGGTCTGGGATCTTGGGAACGGTGCTTGCTGGGGAGGTGGCTTGCGTGCCCGAGAACATTCACAGCTCTGAAGTTGGCATATGTGGCCTATTTCTCCTCTGTCCAGCCCTGATATTCAAAACATCAATAATCCAGGAGGCAGCAGCAGATGGGAGAGCAATCCCAGCTTGGCCATTGTTCTCAGCACCTTTGGTCCAGCAGTGCTAAGTCCACACCCCGTGAGAAGAGGGCTTGCCTGCCTCCTCCTTTGGCACAAAGCACAGCAAGGCTTCCTTAATAGGCCTATTGGGAAGAACTCTGGTTTGCAAATTTGTACAGTTGGATGCTAAAGAATAAAAATATGCCCAGAAGCCAGGATTGTGTTTCTCACTCAGTGTTTGCGTGAGCATGTATGTGAGTGTTTCTGAACTTCTTGAAAAGCAGGTATCCTCCTATCTAATGTCACGGAAATGTTGGTATTTAAGTATGTGACTTGGTTTGAAAAAACTAACAAAGCTGAGAACAAAGAGCATTCTAGTGAAAGGAAAAGAGTCCAGTACTTATGTAGAAGGAGGTAGCATTTTCTTCTGCCACACTGTGATGGATATCATAAATCCACTCTATGGTTAAAACTTCCAGCCGAATTCCCGTGAGGAGGCAGGTAGTCTCCCCAAGTGACAGGAGTGGAATTCAAGAAGCAAGCACATTTGTGTCTCTTGCATGCGCCCATTTTCAGCCTATTCGGAGATCACCCATTTAGGGCCAGTTTGCAGCCTGTGCATCATGCTCTAAGGCCATTTCAGTTAGCAGGAACTCCAGACACACACTTGATAAGCGCAGACACTTTAGAATGCTATTGACTCATCCAAACCCAGGTTTCATTTAAATGCCAAGATCATGAAATCAACTCATTCCTCCCAAGCTTCAGGCTTCTCCAATCTAACGAGCTTGCAGAGATGAATGGTCCTCAGAGTGATTCACTTACTCTCACTAAATCCCTGTGATGCTGGTAAATGGTCGGGCTGGAGGGATCTGAAGTGGGGATGGCAGCTAGCCATTATCTATTGTTTGGTTTAAACATTGTGTGTGTGAGAAAGAGAGAGGCAGAGAGGCAGATCCTCCCTGTTGGTTCACTATCCAAATGCCACAACGACTCTGGCAGGACCAGGTAAATGCTGGGAAGTGAAGTCAAAAGTCTCACCTGGGGCAGAGAGTCAATTATGGGAGCCATTCTCACCTGCCTTTCAGGGTGCACATTACCAGGGAGCTGAGAGAACAGCTGAGCATGAACCCAGGCACTCCAATCAAACGTGGGCTCAGCCAGATGCCTACAGCAGCAGGCTGTAGTTAAGGCAATTGGCAAAGCTGCTGGAGAGAATTCTTCTTGCTCCACAGTAAGTCCGAGGAAGTTATCCTGGGAAAACCAACTTCTGAAAGTTGAATCTGTGATTATATTCTTCCTATTTGACTATGAGCATGAGTGATGTGTCAGACAGACATTGTTCTGTCTTTTCCTGGAGTTTAACCTCACAGTGATCTACACAGCTTATATTTATTTTCTGTTGGATTAGACATTATCTCTCATTTGTCTGACTTTTTTCAAAAGGCTTTTAAAGAGGATTTCTCAGGAGCAAGTGGAGAAAAAGTTTTATGAATCCTTTGAGTGCTGAAAGCCAGGAAGCTATGAGCCAGAGTGGAGTGTGGTTTGCTCAGGATCTCAGTGGGTGGAAGCTGGGTTGTATTTTAGGAATGATTTGGAGAGTGAGTTAAAGGTGAGATGCTGAAGTCCTTGGGGAAGACATACTGATGTCTGTAATCTACATGGAAATATGTCCAAAAAACAAGAAGGATTGAGAGATAGGCATGTGATAAAGCAAATATTTAAAGATGTTAGTGATAGATTTTAGTTTGGAGTTAAGGTGACTTCACTGTAAAATTAATGACTTTTTTTTTTTTTGCATGTTTGTACCTTCGATAATTACTTGTTAGGAAGAAGAAATACCAGGAAATAGATAATGTATACCACAAAGATGAGACATGATGGACTACCTGTGAAATTGATACAACTGGTGAGTAAGTTTGTGAATTGTGTTGGATTTAGAAATATTCTCCTCCACACTTGAAACAAGAAAACCAGTCAAAAAGGCTGAAACAAAGAATTAGGAAACAAAAATATGAAGTATATGGGTTGATGATTAGTATGAAGAATTTCAGGAAGTTAGAAAAATGAAAATGAGGAAAGATGTATTTGAGGAAGATAAGAGACTGAAAAACTCAAGTTGTCAACAACAGAAAAAACAGTTATCAAAAAGATGCTGAGGAATGAAAGATGCAGTCTGGTAAGCATGTTATGGTGGATTTGGGTATTTTCACAGAGGCAGCAGATGAGAGTCTATAAATGTCGAATGAGGAAGGCAACACAAATGGAGTGTGAGCAATCATCCTTGTCTACAGGCATTAATCACCAGTATGGCATCCGCCCAGGGCAGATGTCCTCAAGTAGTGCTCTTTGCCAAGGTTGCAGTGGCCTTTGTTCAAGGTTGTGGTGTGCATGTGGTGAGCCTGGGTTTGTATATGAGAGCATTCTCTTCCAGGCTCCCACCTGTATTCGATTAGGGTTTCACAACGTGGGCTCCATTTTGATCCTACAAGTGTTCGCCGTGGGTTACTCTGCCTGCCTTCCCTTACCAGTGGAGTCTCAGCTTCTGGAAATGGGCTTGATATTATCATTTTTAAAAGCTCCTCAGTTGACTTTTTGGTGTCTGGAACTGAGTACTGCATAGAAGGTGCATTGAGAGACCTAATGCGCTTAGAAAACCCCAACAGGGCTTGGACATGGGGCACAGCGTTTGAGAAGTCGCTCAGGCTTCCGCACCCCACCAAAATCCCTGGGTTCAAGTTTGGCTTCCTCTTTTGATTCCAGTGTCCTGCTAATTTGCACTCTGGAGACATGAGGGTCAGCCTAGGGCTTGGGTTCCTGCTAGCCCTGTTGGAGGTGAAGATCAAGTCTTGGGCCCCAGGCCTCAACCAGGCTCAGGCTGGCTGATTCAGGCATCTGCAGAGTAAGCGAGAGTAGACAATATCTCTCTCTCCCTCTGTGTGTGTCTCTCTCTGACTTTCAAATAGAAAGCCATAAATCTTAAAAATGAGTAAGACTGGGCCCGGTATAATGACTCTGTGGCTAAATACTCGCCTTGCAACTGCTAGCATATCATGTGGGTACTAGCTTATGTCCCAGCTGCTCCACTTCCCATCCAATTCCCTGCCTGTGGCCCAGGAAAGCGTTGGAGGATGGCCCAAAGCCTTGGGACTCTGCACCCATGTGGGAGACCCAGAGGACACTCCTGGCTACAGATCAGCTCAGCTCCAGCTGTTGCGGCCTCTTGGGGATGAACCAATGGATGGTAGATCTTTGTCTCTGTGTCTCCTTATGTCTGTAAATCTGCCTTTCCAATAAAATTCAAAAAATAAATCTTTAAAAAAATAAGATTATTTAGTGCTTACTGAGTACCAAGCATTATGTCAAGTTGGTAGTGTCTCATTTAATCCTCGCAGCAGTTCTCTGAGGCAGACACTATATTCATGGCCTCTTTAGAGAGAAGAAAACAGGTACAGTGACATTAGTCATTTTATTAAGGTCACATAGTGAGTGTAAACTCACTGTTAGACTTTGTTGTACTGGTGGTCTGAGATCTTTAAGTACTCTTTGTTGATAAAGATGTACATGTGCTATATTTTCTGGGTTCTTTCATGTCTAAGGATGTGCTTTTATACTTTAACGAGAGTTCAGCTGAAAAGGTTTATTCATGTTAATACGTATTTATTTATAATATATCAACAGGTTAATCCTAAGCTAGGAGTCTATATATGTGTGAAGTAGCTGTAGAAGCAGTTTCCTGTGTGCTTGTTGTTGGCTTTGGATGTGCGCTTGATGTTTGGCACGTGGATCAGGGGAGCTTCCTGGAAAGATACGGCAGAGGAAATTGTGCAGTCTATGGAGCGAATTATGACTCGGGCAGGGCCTTAGACTTGACATAAGAGGCAATGTGTTGGCAGGATCTGGGTCCATTGCAGCTGCACTTTCTCCACTATCCTGTTGATGGGTCTATCTCTCTATCTCTTTGCAACATCCCTGCTTTGTGACATCCAAGTAGGGGGGCCCTTTCAGGCACTATGATGTTTACTTTGCAGGGAAATCCCTGTTAGTCCAAGAACTGTAAGAATATTGTTCACTCTTACTTATTATTATTATTTTTTTTCTTTTTTAGTATATGGGCATTACTTTTTTGTCCTTGCCTTTCTTAGAACACCAATTTTCAGTTATTTAAGTAAGCTATTTTACTTTTCACCTTTGAAAAGTAAAATTTATGTCCATTGTGGATGACACTGTGAAACACTGTTATTGTCATAGTGTGGAATTCATCCGAGCATCCCCCAAAATCTAGGTTTTGGTTTTTGTTCTAATTTTTATTTAGTTTCATTTTATTTGAAAGAGAAATGGAAGGAGAAGAAAGAGAAGTGGGGAGGGAAGAAAGATAAAGAAGGAGGGAGGGGGAAAAAGAGAGGTTGGGATTTTCCACTCACTGGCTTACTTCCTAGAGACCTACACAAGACTGGGTCAGCTAAAGCCAGGAACTCCTTGCAGATCCCCCAGGTGGATGGCAGGACTCGACTTAGAGGCATCACCTACTGTGTCTAATAATACGTATTAGGGGGAAGATAGCTCCAAAGCAGAGGAGCCAGGACTGGGATCCAGCCACTCCCATATGGGATGCAGATGACCCAAGCAACATGTTAACTGCTGCACCAAATGCCTGCCCCCAGGTTGAGTTTTTAAAACTTTGTATACATTAAACTTCACTCTTTGTGATGGACAGTTTCATCGGTTTTGGCAAACGTGTACGTTGTGAATCCATCACAACTGCAGTGTCAGGAAGAGCTTCATCGCTCAGACAGTGCCCCTGTGTGCCCCTTTGTGGTCAGTCGGCCACCCTCGCCTGTTTGCTAAGCGTTGCACCGACTCTCCCACTGCCCTCTCGCTTCAATATACTCTAACATTTTTAGCATATGTTCTTCATAAACTTAATTTTAAAAAGAAGCATTTACTTCATTTCATTTTACATGGAATTTCCTCACTGTTTTGTCTTTCTTGTAGTTTCTGATTGATTTCAGTGAGTACAGTGGAGTCTGCATGGCTATCTTCTGCCATCTGTAAGTGTTTAAAGAAGAGTTATAGTGACAAACACTTATATTTTTGTGTAAGTAAATTCAGACAAGGAATTTACTTAAGAACAAGGGATTCACAATGAAACTAAGGGTTGATGTCTTAGGACTCTATCATGCATATGATAGTTAAACATCTATGAAAACACCTTTGTCAAGCTCTGGGCTAAGTGTGGGACATCTCCGTCTCCTCCCTTGAGAACATCACCACACTTGTGAGACACAGAGGCAGGCATGTAATTTCAGTCCAGCGTGGCAGGTGCACCGCGAGGCGCAGGGCTGGATAGAGTCTTGGGTGTCTGGAGTGCTAGAGGAGCAATTCTACATTGCTTAGCAGTCACCAAATTAGACTAGATATATGTTAGGCCAGAGCTGATTTTGCTTGCAATAGGCTTGGTTTTATTCTAGTCCATGGAAAACCCAGTTTCCAGAGCCAATCCTAAATTTAAGTTCATCCTAGAAACTGATAATTCTGGGAAAAGAGTTGAATGCTAAGTATCTGAGGCTTCATGAGCCACACTTGATTTTTGTCATATACTCTTTGTAATAATCCTTAAAGCATGTAAAAACCACTCATAACTCATGTCATACAAAAATGGGCCACAAGCTGGAGTTGGTTAACCCTTGTTTCATCTCAGCACACTTTAAATCATTTTATGCTGCTCTATAAATCTTATGACTAGTATTAAAATACCAGAAAATATTTCAAGCAAGAATCTGCTTTAAAATTAACCCAACTTTAAAGTGTGGTGGATTTTAGCGTTATTTTCTTCTCCTTAGGCTGTTCCTGGTAGAAGGATTGTATGAACCTGTTCCTGCTATGTGGCTTGCCTCCTCCCACCTATTTGGTGATTTCACTTCTCCATATAATGATGAATGCCTTCTACTTGGTTTTGTTTATAGTTACTTGTTTATTTGAAAGGCAGTTACAGAGAGAGAGAGAGGGAAAAGGAAAAGAGAGAGAGATTAAGATTTTCCATTTGCTGGTTCACTCCCCAAATGGCCCCCAATGGCCCAGGCTCAGGTAGGCTAAGGACAGGAATCAGGAACTTCAGCCAGGTCTTCCACTTGGGTAACAGGGGTTCAAGAGATGAGTGGGAAGTGGAACAGAAGGACACAAATCGGCCCCTATATAGAAGGATAGAGTTGACTGCAGCAGTGTAGCCTGCTACTTTGCTGTTGGATTATCTATTTGAAAGTTGAGAGAGAGAGAGAGAGAGAGAGAGAGAGAGAAAACACACACTCAAAGTAGTGAAACTGTGATGTGTCTCTTCCTGGTGGAAACTGAAGAGCCATTTGATGGTTTACATCACTGCATCGTTCTGTCATTGCATGGATCCGCCACGTTGTGAATGTGCCCTTGCATGAGTTGGTCACCGTGTGGAGCAGCCACTGCGTAGACCCAGCTTCGTGTGGATTTGCCATTGTTTCCACGGAATTGCCATTGTGTGGATCCAGCACTGCGTGGATCTCCCATTGTTTCCTCCTTCCTCAAGATAACATGACCCAGATGTGTTTGATTCCAGAATAAAGACACTTGGAGCAGAGTTCCAACCAACTCTCAGTGGATCTGTAACATAAGCAAGAATTAAACTGTGCTTCTTGAAGACTCATGAGAAGTTTGTGTTGGTTTCTACTGCATAGTATAAGAGCTTTCGAGTGTACCATGTGACCTATGTATCCACAGCAGCTGTGTCAGGCTGGCCCCACACTTCTGAGCAGGCATGCAGCGAAATCACAGTCAAAAAATAAGTTTAAAAAATGCAAGTTTAATTTATAGTTTTATCTAAGAAGTTTGTTTCCAAGAGGAGTTCTGGAACAGGCAAGTTAGTGAAGCAGAATGACT